TTTGGCCTTTGCTACGGAAGTTTTCATACCCTTATAAATAATGCTTTCGTTCTCCTCTCCAATTGATGTGAGATCTTACAATCCCCCCTCTTTCGGGGCCCAGCGTCCTCGCTGCCACAGAGCCTTGTGTCCACTCCCTATGGGGCTTAGCTTCCTTACTGGCACATCAATCGTTCTCTTCTCCAATAGATGTGGGACCCCTCAATTCACTCCCCTTCGAAGCCCAGCGTTCTTGCTGGCACACTGCCTCGTGTCCACCCCCTTCGGGACTCAGCCTCCTTACTGACACATCGCCCCGTGTTGGACTCTAATACCATTTGTAACCGCCGAAGCCCACCACCAGCAGATATTGTCCTCCTTGTTCTTTTCCTTTTGGGCTTCCTTTCATGATTTTTAAAACACTCTGCTAGGTAGGTTTCCACACCCTTATAAAAAAATGTTTCGTTCTCCTCTCCAACCGCTGTGGGATCTTACATCTCATTGTTTGTGTTATTTGATACTAAGTTTTTACTAAATAGACCAGATGAGATTTTCTAATTAGTCCCGAATACGGAGATTGAATTTCTCTATTAATTGGAAAGGGGTGCTTCAAATCAGGAAGTAAAAGAAAGGCAACCTATTCCTATAATTTCAGTCAGCCTCGCTACCTCGTTAATTGCCACTCCTATCGATATCGTCTTTTTCATGATGTCAAGAGAATTTTAGCTTCTCATCTTCTCTAGACTATAAGGATTACAATGAACCAAAATTGAGAGTACAAATAGAATTTAAACCATTTTTAATGTCTATGTTCGTTTTAAGAACTCATGGTATTTTTACTTAAAACATTTGTTTGATTGTCAGGAACACTTAAGGATGGACGGATGGTTGCAGTAAAGCGTCTATACGAAAACAACTATAAACGTGTCGAACAATTCATGAACGAAGTCGAGATTCTCTCACGATTGCAACACCCGAACCTCGTGAAGCTTTACGGATGCACATCGAGACATAGTCGAGAGCTCCTCCTAGTATATGAGTACATTCCCAATGGAACAGTGGCTGACCATCTACATGGAAAACAAGCAAATTCAGGTCAGCTCAATTTGGCTGTTAGGCTAAAGATTGCTATAGAGACAGCTTATGCACTAGCTTACCTTCATCGTCAAGACATCATTCACCGCGATGTCAAAACCAACAACATTCTTCTAGACAACAACTTCAAAGTAAAAGTAGCTGATTTCGGGCTCTCACGGTTATTTCCCCTCGATGTAACCCATGTTTCAACTGCTCCACAAGGGACACCAGGCTATGTTGATCCCGAGTATTATCAGTGCTATCAACTAACTAGTAAGAGTGACGTGTATAGTTTTGGAGTCGTTTTGATTGAGCTGATATCGTCGCTGCAGGCAGTTGATATCAACAGGAATAGAAATGATATCAATTTGTCGAATATGGCTATTGATAGAATTCAAAAGCATAGTTTGGGTGATTTAGTAGATCCGGATCTTGGGTTTGAGAGGGATTATGTTGTAAGGTCTATGATAACGTCTGTGGCTGAGTTGGGTTTTCGATGTCTTCAACAAACAAGGGATGTGAGGCCTTCTATGGATGAAGTGGTGCAAGCTCTGAGAGAAATAGGGAAAGAAGTGGTAGATATTGGTAATGATATGTGAGGCTTTTAAGGAATGCTTTCATCCATAGCTCAAGATTAATTATTACTATTAGTTTATTGTTATCTTTTCAAAGAATGATGTAGTCCCTATAAATTTGTGAAACATATTTTTGTTGTATTGATTTCAAATGAAAATTATGATTATCTAATCAAAATGAAGTTTATGTGACGCCAGAGTAAAAGAGAGACACGTGAATGAACGGATTAAAAAAAAATTAAAATAATTCAAAATTGTTATCTATACTAACAAGGTGCACCTTTGCGTTTGATAGCTCAATCATAGGAACTTCATAATTAAGCGTTCTTTGCTTAGAGTAATTCTATGTTGGGTGGCGTCTTGAAAATTTACCTGTAATGCATGTGAGTGAGGACTAGTCATGCTGGAAGGACTCGTTAGTTTGTGTGGATAGTGTTCGCTCTTAGAAGCGAGGAGTAAGTAACGTGACCATGAATGGGGATGTTAGGCCATTAGGTATCGAATTCAGATACTGAATCTTGAGCCTAGGATCGTTACAATTTATATGATGAGCTTATGTATTTTGAAGTTAATAACTTTATATTCTATTCTAAGTAAGATTTGCAATGACTTTGTATGTGTGTGTATATATACACTCGAGTTTGCTGATAATTCAATACCATATGACTATAACATGTCTTAAATTCAAATTTGTTGAAGGTTATTTTCCCTTGCATTTAATGTTCATAGCTCATATAGAGCACTATGAACCAAACTAATACTCAATTTCACATAGGATGGGGTGACCTTTTGAATTATTGAACTTCTGATAGTGTTAGCAATTTGTAGGTCCAAATGCTTTAAGGATATTGAAGGTTTCATTTGAAATTTGATTCAGAACCAGACTCAAACTTCCTTTCTATTTCAATTTCATTCTATATTTTTCTTGTTTACATTTGAAAATTTGAGATTTTGATAATGTTTTTCAATAAACTTATATTTTATCACTTTTTCTCTTTGAACTTTAGATATTATTGATTTGAATTTTAAACTAAAAAAATATTGCACCTTTACATACATCGAATAGGATAATTTTGATATAACGAATTTATGTATCATGTAAGACAATTATGTGAAGAAAATTATTGGAATGTATGAAGTATGATGTGAATAAATGATTTGGAAGAATTAGAAAATAATCATATTGTTATGTATATGCATATATCTTATATAGAGAGAAAAATTAACCTCTAATTTTGACTCGAAAGAATTAGAAAATATTCATGTTGTTGAATCTTAACTATGTTATTGTTCATGAAAGTTATGTTTATGAAAGAACAAATGCATGACCCGTATCATACGTATATGTCATGATTTTTTGTGTCATTTGCATCGGGATACTTCTCCGTTATGATGAGTACGAACGTGTACACTATAATATTATGTAAACCATGATATTATGCATGTTCCTTTTCCATTATGACATTTTTGGTAGCATATATGCTAGTCAAAGTCCACATCCAGGGGTACGTATACAAGCATACCTAAGGGTCCATGTTCATGTACATGGACCGTGTGTAGAGAAGTACTACATGTCCAATCTACTCAAACTGAAAAGTGAGACCAAAGTCATGGTGATAACGAAAGGATAGACCCTAACATGATCGCGTGTGCTTTGCATTTTCTGACTCCAAGAGTGAAACTACTTACTGAGTATTTTTAAATGTTTAAGTTTCGTACTACTTTTTTTAGGTAAAGGTAAGGCTCCCGGTATGGATAACAACATCACCGTGAAAGTCATGGAATCGAAGCTAGTGCAATTCTTTTTATGATTTAAATTGTCACCTTTAGATTAATTCAATGTGTTTTTTTTACTTTGAACTTATTGTTACTTTGTTTTGTCTTTTCAATTTATATTACTTTTATTTGATCTATGAACATCTAATTTCATGATATCATTTATGATTTAAAAAGATTTTTCGATTACGAAGAAATTCGTAGAAGAAATGGATCCAAAGATGAAGTTCCAACCAAACCTCAAGAGCACTAAGTTCTTAGTTTTTAGCCCACATTTAATGCATTTATTTATTTCCATAGTTAAGGAAATTGAATGAGGTTAATTTGTTGGAATGTTGAGTTAATTGGAAGAAAATAAAAAAATAAAAAGTTAAAAATGCAATCGAAACTAGAAAAATCTAAAAATCACGTTAATCAAATGTGAAATGCATCGAGGGAGGCTGCTGACACAAGGAGAAGGACACATGTCAGTAGTACATAGAGGGTGGAGGCATACATTGGGTCAAGGTCGTAACCTTTCAATTATGCAGTGTTGTGATTTTGACACACTCACACTAGCCTTGAGTAAAATCCAAGCCTCATATTCATTTTTTGTTTAACTTTGTGGTTTCGTCGGACATTAAGCGAGGCTTGTCTTCGTCAATCGAACGCAACTTTTGTGGAATCCAAGCTTGTTTGGTAAAGTCCAAATTTTGGGCCCATGGCCTAATACAAAATAATAATTATAAAAATAAGTCCTACCGTACAACCTCCTTAGTTTTTGCATGAAACCAAAGGCAAGTCGGCCACAACAAACCCTAAGCCACTTGCCGCCCTTCCTTCTTTCTTTGTCATCTTCTTCCTTATTCTGCTCGCCACCCTTCCTTCTTTCTTTGTCAGCTTCTTCCTTAAGCCGTTGTCACCCAACGTTCACGCCGTCCCACCGCCGCTATTTTCCACATCACTCCGCACCCCTTCGCACATCAGAAAATCACCACCCAGCATCCACGTCGCCGCTGCGAGTGAACACCATCGCCATCGCCAGAACCGACATTAAGAGGATTAAACGCAACAAACCAATAGCTGCCCCTCGGGATAAATATACAACGTGGTTTCCTCTCGGGATAAATAGGATTGGTACCAACACTCTACGTGGACAGCAAGCTCGATCTAAGTTGAAGCGAACTTATAGCGGTAGAAACAATTAGGAAAGGAGCTCTCTAGGTAAGGGACCCTCCTATTGAAACTAAATGTTTGTTTTTTTAAAAAGAATCAAACAGATTTGTCATATGGTTGTGTTGTGTAATCTGTTGGTTGTGTGTGTTAAAGATCACGTATTTGTTTAGACTGTTGTCAATTAGTATCTAATTAAATCTTCCTTAGGAGTTAGATTTAGTTTTGATTTGATTTAGTTTTTGATTTGTTTACTGGTTTGTTACCCGATTTTCTCCCGATTTTTTAGGTAGATTTTCAAAATATCTTTTTGATTCTCTGTATATATGTATAGCATTCTTGCTCTTCATAATATAATCTTCTCATCAACCATTCAATCACTCCCTCTTTCACTGACAATTGGTATCAGAGCTATTTTCTTAAGGGATCTGTGAGATCAAAATGGAAGGAGAATCTAGTTTTTTAGCTATTGCACCACTAGTCTTTGATGGAGACAATTATCAAATGTGGGCAGTTCGTATGGAGATTTATTTGGAGGCCTTGGATCTTTGGAAAGCAATAGAAGAGGATTACAAGGTCCCTCCGCTTCCAGCAAATCCTACTGTAGCACAAATCAAATTACAGAAGGAAAAGAAGACAAGGAAATCAAAGGCGAAAGCTTGCCTATTTGCCGTTGTATCCCAAATGATCTTCATGCGAATAATGTCCCTAAAAAAACCAAAGGAAATCTAGGATTATCTCAAGGATGAATATGAAGGAGATAAGAGGATTCGTGGAATGAAAGTCCTGAATTTGATTAGGGATTTTGAGTTGTAGAAGATGAAGGAGTTTGAATCGGTGAAAGAGTACTCTAACAGACTTCTCAGCATTGCCAACAAGGTGAGATTGCTTGGTTCTGTATTAAATGATTCCAGGATCGTTGAAAAGATGCTAGTCACTATTCTAGAGAAGTTTGAAGCCACCGTTACTACTCTGGAGAACACCAAAGACTTGTCAAAGATTTCTCTTACAGAGCTCTTGAATGTTTTACAAGCACAAGAGCAAAGGAGGTCTATGAGGCAAGAAGGGGTGATTGAAGATGTCTTACCTGTCTAAGCATCAAGACAACAGCAGGTATAAAAATAAGAAAATTTTCAAAATTCAATCGACGAATGGAGATTCATTTGCCAATTATTAGAAGACAAAAGGAGGAGGTTTCAAAAAATCCTATCCACCTTGCCGCCATTGTGAAAAGAAAGGTCATCCATCATACAAGTGTTGGAGAAAACTTGACGCCTTCTGCTCCAAATGCAATCAACTTGGACATGAAGCTGTGATCTGCAAAGCCAAAGATCAGGTGAAAGAAGTAGATGCACAGGTAGTTGATCAAGAAGAAGAAGAAGAAGATCAATTGTTTATGGTCACTTCTTCCTCAGGCAAAGAATCAAGCGAGAGCTGGTTGATTGATTGATAGTGGGTACACAAATAAGATGACAAATTACAAGGAGTTTTTTGAGAAATTAAGAGACACTGAAGTCAAGAGAGTGAGGATTGACAATGGTGAACACTTGAAAGTCAAGGGAAAAGGCACAGTAGCTATAACAAGCTATGAAGGTACAAAATTTATTCCAGATGTTTTATTTGTACCTAAAATTAATCAAAATGTGTTAAGCGTTGGTTAGTTACTTGATAAAGGCTATAAAATGTTGTTTGAGATGTTGAGTTTTATGTCTTAAAACTCATAGTTTGTAAACAAAAAACATATTCTATTTTCAATAATGTTATTATTGTTGTTTATTCAGTAAAGATTGTTATTGAATAAAGTGAACTTCACGATCCTTAATCTAAATCCAATAAACTAACAACACTCTGGCTATAGTATGATTACGTGAACTATATGTAGAGACATAAGAGTGGATCAAGTTCAAGTATATAGTCAAAATGATCTATAGTATAAGGATAAGGCTGAGTACCTTATTCTGGGAATACTATAGATGCAGCCCACTTTTGTATATGATATAAACAATGTGATCACTAAATTGTATATGTGGAGACATGTGAGTGGGGACATCCTATGCAATGAGTATTGCATAAGATCAGATCATGAAGAAAACCACTCTCACTTTATAATGTCGTTTACTGTTGAGACTGATTTTCTTTTCATTCAATAACCTAGGTAACTTGGTTTTAATCCTGAGCTAACCATGAACTCCTGTTTATTCGAAATTATCCTTAGATTTGCATGGGTGAGAGTGGCTTTAATTCGCCCACTCAATAGGCCTCCCATTTCAGGGGGGGTGAATGGCTGAGGACGTGGGGTGCAAGATGGAATTCGCTCCTACCCACTTTTAGGGGATAGAAGAGAGGTAGTTCCCTTAAGCACCGACTCCAGGTCTTGAACAAGGAGGCCCACCCTCTCATTGGCCTGAGAGGGATTCGGTTTACTGGTTGAACCACAAACCAATTGTTCATTAGAGGATCAGTGAGACATAAGGAACAAGAAGTAACTTTAGGGATAAAATGGTAAATTGACCCAGCTCTAGTTACGAACAACCTGTGAAGGATCGACTTACTAATCATGGTTATATCAAATGGACAGAAATATATCTATAGTGAGGGGAGTGCAACTACTAGGCTATAGTGGAGTGTCCTAGTAGTTAACGAATGTGGATAACAAGGTTAATGAGTTTAACCGGTTAATCTTGGATCGTTGGAGCCCATGATCTATAGGTCCATTAGGTCCCTCTACTAGCTCATATCGAACTAAACCATAGAACAGTGTGACGAGTGAGTTCGAAGTGTTCAAATTCAAATTAGGGAATATGCACTACATATATACGATATATTTAAACGCATTTTTGTTTTATTTACGAAATAAACAAAAAGAGAGAATTTGAGATATTTAAATAAGATTTAAATATCTTAATCAATTATGTGTCGGAATTAATTGGGATTGGCATTTGAATTAATATTAAATATTAATTAAATAGTTTAATTAACCATTTAATGTTAGTTTAATTTGAAATTCATTATTCAAATTAATTGTTGAATTAAAACGAAGAAAGTCAAAATGTTGACTTCTGGAAAAATCCATGCATAGTGGAATTTTGAGGTATCAAAATTTGGTTTAACCAAACTTGCATGCTTGCAAATAAACCCCACAAGTTTGAGTGGAATTTTGAGTGTCAAAATTTGGTTAACTCAAACATGCATGCTTGCCACATAATCCCAAACATTTGAGTGGGATTTTTTAAGTGTCAAAATTTTGTGATCTCAATTTTGCATGAACATGCAAAGATGACTCTTTAAATAGAGCGATCATGGTACATGGGAGGTCTTCTTCTTGGTGAAAAACCTTGAGAAAAACCTCTCACAAACACTCTCTTCACATATACAAAATTCCTCCCAAGTTCAGTCACTCATCGGATTCCACAATCTCGCTCTAAGGCCGGAGGATAGTAGAGAAGACACTAGTGGTGGTTCGAAACAAGTTCGTGAGGAAAAAGGAGTTTGAACTACAAAAGGTTAGTATTTAAACTCACTAAGTTTTAATACTTATGAACATGCTAGTTATTTACTATAATTGATGTTCTAAAAGTGCCTAAGATCCAAATTGCTTCCGCATGTGTTATATTAACACCCAACATGAGAATAAGGAGTGCTTGATTAAAGATGCTAGTNAAAAAAAAAAAAAAAAAAAAAAAAAAAAAAAAAAAAAGCTTTGCTCTAAATCCAACGGCCTTTATATCCAGAGTTAGTGCCACTGAGATTTGGCACAAAAGACTTAGACACTTTCATCATTGAGGTTTGCTTCAGATGCAGTCAAAAAAGCTAGTAGAAGGATTCGCTGACATTGATGATGACATGCCTCCTTGTCGTGCTTGTAATTTTGGGAAGCAACATAGGCAACCCTTTCCTAAACAGGCATGGAGAGGCTCGAAAAAGCTGCAACTGGTTCATACTGATCTTTGTGGTCCTCAACGAACACCATCATTAAATGGTAATCTTTATTTCATTGTTTTTATTGATGATCTAACAAGAATGTGTTGGATCTTCTTGCGAAAGCAAAAGTCAGAAGTTGCGGGTGTATTTCGAAAATTCAAAGCTAGAGTTGAGAATGAAAGTGCATGCTTGATTCAGACTATAAGATCAGATTATGGCAAAGAGTACACTTCAGAAACTTTTAACAGGTTTTGTGAAGAGGCTGGAATTGAACATCAATTGACAGCACCATACACTCCTCAATAGAATGACGTCAGTGAAAGGAGGAATAGATTCATAATGAAGATGACGAGATGCATGCTTCATGAGAAGGATCTTCCAAAACATTTTTGGGGAAAAGCAGCAAACACTGTTGTGTGCTTGCAAAATCGAATTTCAACAAAAGCTGTGAAGGACCTGACACCATTTGAAGTTTGGTATGGTTACAAATATTCTTTAAAGTTCCTTAGAGTATTTGGGTGTGTTTGCTTCACTTACATTCCACAGGTCAAGTGTGATAAGCTTGACAAAAAGGCAGAAGTCGGCATCTTTGTTGGGTATAGCACTATATCCAAAGCTTATAGAGTTTTTCAACCACACACTAGGCGTGTTATTGTGAGCCGAGATGTTCTTTTGCTGGAAATGTGCAATGGAATTGGGAAGAACTGACGAAGGTGAATAAGATTTCTAATGCACCAAACAATTTAATCTTTGGTAGCATGTTAGAAGAGTCTGAAGATGAACAACTAGAAGAGTCTGAAGATGAACGACAAGGAGAGTATGAAGATGAACGACAAGATGCTTTGGTTAATGATGCACCTGTCAGAGGAGCTTTCGGTGATCGAAAAAAATAAAATCTGGGAGTTGGTTGATCGACCTCTAAACAGAAAGATAATTGGAACAAGATGGGTGTTCAGAAAAAAGCTTGGAGTTCACAGCATCTAAACAAGGAGGAGTGTTAAACATCACATCTTTGTTTAGATTGTTGTCAATTAGTATCTAATTAAATCTTCATTAGGAGTTAGATTTAGTTTTGATTTGATTTAATTTTGATTTGATTTAGTTTTTTATTTGTTTACTGGTTTGTTACAGATTTTCTTCAGATTTTTTAGGTAGATTTTCTAAATATCTTTTTGTATTCTCTGTATATATATATAGCATCCTTGCTCTTCATAATATAATCTTCTCATCAACCATTTAATCACTCACTCTTTCACTAACAGTGTGCTATGTAATCTGTTGGTTGTGTGTTGTGTAATTGTTGGTAGTCTGCGGTTTAATCTGTTGGTTGTGTGTTGTGTAATTGTTGGTAGTGTGCGGTTTAATCTATTGGTTGTGTGCTGCGTATTGTTGGTAGTGTGCTGTGTAATCTGTTGGTTGTGTGCTGTGTAATTGTTGGTAGTGTGCTATGTGCTGTGTAATCTGTTGGTTGTGTGCTATGTGCTGTGTAATCTGTTGGTTGTGTGCTGTGTAATTGGTAAGGGGTGATAAATATTAGGTAATTGATGACTGTTAAACACTGTATAAACTGTTGAATGTGTAGTTGTATTTGATGATTGAGTTTGATGTGAGTTGTATGACACAATATATGTGGGTTCATAAAATCCAAGGTTTTACTGTTTTGGGGACCTATTGCATATATATTGTGTTTGTTGGTGGTGATGGTTAAGGGGTTTGTGGTAATAGTTATACGTTGTGTGTTTCGGGTAACTAGCCACTGATAGTCACCTTCGATGATGATTGTAGAAAATGACTATCAAGGTAAGGGTTACATGCTGTGTGTTTCGGGTAACCACCCGTTGATGGTCATTTTAAGGAAATAAGGAGGGATGTTGATTTCCTCATGGTAATGGTTACACGTTGTGTGTTCAGGTAACCAGCCAGAGATAATCATTTTAAGGAGTAAAGGTGGGCGTTGATTTTCTAGGGAAATAATTACCCGCTGCGTGTTTCGGGTGATTAACCACTCAGATCTCTCGATTTTGGTTGATCGCTTTGTGACAAGTTATGTATTTGACCCCAATAGGAGAGTTCCTTGTTTTTTTTTTTTTTAAAAAATGGTTTTCAAGCGAAGCTGTGGGTACGGAGGTGACGAGTGGGATGCCAAAGTCAGTCATGGAGCGACTCAAGAAGTTTATGTTTATTGTTATTTTATTTTGATGGATATACGTTTCCACACTTTTATTTATTAATTTAAATTATGTTTGTGGACACCTAGTTTATGGGAACTAGTCGGTCACACTACATTTGAGTTTAATTTCGTACGTTGTTTGAACATTTTTAAGCAGCATGTTTTAACCTTTTTAAAGGGGTACCCCGCACCTGATTTTAATAAATGACCGTCTTTGCATAGTTTTCATTAATTTTTAAATAATCAAATTATTTTTTGTAACGGCCTTGACCGCTACTTATAGGATAAGACGGGTCATTACAGTTGGTATCAAAGCCCAGTTATGGGATTCTGCAGACTGCTTACATCGTAAGCTAAAAAGTCGCCCATGACTGAACTGTAAACTCTTGTCACTTCTAGGTACGCGGGGCCATAAAATGGATGAATATGTATTGTGAATATTGATATTACTTGGCTATCATGGTGATTTTACATACGCTTGTAAGTCAAAAGTAGTGGATAATGTATGTTGTTGCGTAATGTACAAATATGTATTGTCGAATATGGATATTTTGATTGGCCATCATGGGTGATTTTACATACGCTTGTAAGTCAAAATTAGTAGATAATGCATGTTGCATAATGTACGAATGTGTAGTATCAAATATTGATATTTTGATTGACTATCATGTATGGTTTTATGTACTCGTAAGTAAAAAAAAAAAAAAAAAGTGGTGGATAATGCACGTTGCACAATACCTAGCTGAAAAAGAAAATGAAATTTTACGAGGTAATTTATTGTTGGTTAGGAACGAAACAAGGAAAAGGATGTCTGGCCAAGTAACAAATTGACGGGGTAAACGTGCTCGAAGCGGGCCGGTAAGGGTTCGGGAGAATCCATCTTTAGAGGCCCCACTTTAAGAACAATCAGTAAATGCGAACCCAAATTTGGGAATAGGAGTTCCCCAATATGATCCACTGAGAGCAAACCTTGATGCTCCGAAAGTACCTAATATGACCTCGATGATGGAAATGATGCAATCCATGGCACAGACAGCTGGGCAAATGGCACAATTGATCCTGACCTTAGTGCAAAGCGCCAGGCTGACGACCCATCACAACCGGGGGGACGCCGATGCGACAGAAGAAAGCAAGTATTTTTGATCTTTCAAGCGTTGGGACCCCAAAGTATTCGAGGGAAAGTCCAAGGACCCTGTTGTAGCTGAATTTTAGTTGTCAGTTATTGATAAAAAAATTTTACACATGAAGTGTTTGGAGGAGCATAGACTGAGTTGCGTGACTTACCTGTTATGCAATGATGCTAAACTGTGGTGGCAATAGCCTCCCAGGCAATTGCTGCGAACGAAGACGATATCACTTGGACGTAGTTTAGAGCAGCGTTAATTCCTAAGCATAGAGCAAGGAAATAGGTCAGTAGAGAAGTATGAACGAGAGTTCACCCTTCTGTCCTGTTTCACTCCAATAATGGTCTCAACAGAAGAGCTGAAAGTAGATTGTTTTGTTATGGACTTGAGGCCTAATGTTCGAGGGGCGATGTCAGCTCACCTTCCACCTGATTATGTAACAACACTTCGACTTGCCGAGACGCTCGACGATAGGGAGTATCCGACGGAAGACACTCAAACCCACTTAAACACGACAGTTGACCAGAAGAGAAAGAGAGAAAAGACGTCACCTACCTCCTCAAAGGTACCGTGGCACCAGGCTAAGACAAATTTAAACCAAGAGCGTGTTGAACATAATTCTCTGTGGAAGACACTCACACTCTTTATTAACACCAATCGAGAAGAGAATACAAGACATCATGTAGAATACTACTATTTGTATTGCTTGGGATTTCTTAGGATGAAAAACTAGGTAGGGTAGAGGGGTATTTATACTATATCCTATGCAATCTAGACTTAACAAATCTAAATCTTTTTCCTAAAATACCGAGATTTCTCTCCTAAAATATCGAGTATCTTTCCTAAAATCTCTATGAAAATAAATATACAATGGGCTTGTACAATTATTGGGCTTGACTCTATTGGGCTAGTGATGATATTTTAATAGAGCGTAGGCAACCAAAGGCTCGCCCACAAAACACGCCACGTGACAGACCATGTTGCATGAACTGTGGGAGACGTCACCTAGGACATTGCAGGTTTAAAAATCGAGTATGTTTCAACCGTCACTAAGAAGGCCACGTTGTCGCACATTGCACCCAAGAGAGAGCAACAGACCCCCTGGTAACCAACCAACCTTAAACGCGAGGCTTGCTCTGCAACAGGGTCGAATATATGCTACCACTCGCCAGGAGGCAGAAAAATTCAACATGGTAGTCACAGGTAGACTCTCTATTCCTGGGCACTACGCTTGAGTCTTGTTTGATTCTGGGTTAACCACTCCTTTATCTCTACTAATCCTGTTCGATCTGTTGCAAGGAGCAATTGTGTTCTCAAAGATTGACTTATGGTCAAGCTACCATCAGTTAAGGATTAAGGAGAGTGATATCTCAAAGACAGCCTTTCGCACAAGGTATGGACATTACGAGTTTAGGCTATTGTCGTTTGGCTTGATGGGGTTGATGAACACCCCTCAACAAAATGGTGTGGCCGAGAGAAAGAACCGAACCATTCTGACATGGTTCGATCAATGCTCAAGAGCAAAAGGATGCCAAAGGAATTTTGGGCAGAAGCCGTGCAATGTGCCATTTACGTACAAAATCAATGTCCACATGCGAAATTAGATGATCAAACACCACAAGAAGCTTGGAGCGGACAAAAGCCTACAATCTCTCATCTCAAAGTGTTCGATAGTGTGGCTTATGCTGAGAAAGGTATATTTTTATTGGATATGATGAGAAGACAAAAGGATACAAGCTACTTGACCCGATAAGTATAATGGTGATAGTGAATCGTGATGTGCGAGTAAATGAAGCAAGCGAATGGGACTGGAACAATTCAACGGAAGTCAATATCGAAGTTGGAGAATCATTAGTCGTTGCACCAACAAGTGCACCAACAGACTCGGAAATTTTCGATGATGAAGATGAACCACAACCCAAAATGCGAAGTTTGCGAGACTTGTATGACTTAATAAATGAGGTACACCTTGTATGTCTTTTGGCAGATGCTGAAAAATATCAGCTTTGAAGAGGCTGTGCAAGATATGAAGTGACAAACTTCCATCGATGAGGAGATTAAAGCGATTCATCGCAACAATACATGGAAGGTGACAGAATTACCGGAAGGAAGTCAGCCCATAGGTGTGAAGTGGGTATTCAAGAATGAATGCTCAAGGTAAGATAGAGCAGTACAAGGCGCAACTTGTTGCGAATTGATACAACCAAAAGACAGGAATCGACTATGACGAAGTGTTTACTCCTGTTGCTAGAATGGAGACAATTCGATTACTCATTTTCCAAGCAGCTCAATTCAAATGGCCGATTTTTCAAATGGATGTCAAGTCGGCATTCTTGAATGGTGTGCTTGAAGAAGAAGTCTACCTCGAACAACCACCTAGGTACATGAAAATTGGAGAAGAGAAGAAGGTACTAAAATTGAAGAAGACGTTTTACGGGTTGAAGCAAACACCGCGAGCATGGAATACTCGTATCGCTACATACTTCAAAGAGAGCGGTACAAGCAAAATGTCCCCACGAGCATGCACTTTACACAAAGAAAAGTAGAGGTAATGTGATACTTGTTGCTCTTTATGTCGATGACCTCATCTTTTCAGGCAACAATGATGAAATGATAGAAGAGTTCAAAAGCTCAATGACACAGAGAATTTGAGATGACAAATTGGGCTTCTTGAAGTTTTTCCTTGGTTTGGATGTTAAGCAACAAGAGACGGGTATCTATATATAACAGGAGAAATATGTAAAGCAGATTTTGAAGAAGTACAAGATGGAAAATTGCAACCCGGTATCAACACCAATGGAACTAGGTGCAAAACTCTCAAAGTACGATGAAGGAGAACGAGTAGATGCAAATAGGTACCGGAGCCTGGTAGGAAGCATTCGCTATCTTACATGCACAAGACCAGATCTTTCATTAAGTGTCGGCATTATAAGCCGGTTCATGGAGGAGCTGATTTATTCACATTGGAAGGTGTTGAAGCGAGTCCTACGGTACATCCAAGGAACGGTGTTACTTGGGTTATTCTACTCGAAAACAGAAGATTACAAGTTAGTTGGTTACTCTGACAGTGATTGGTGTAGAGACATAGATGATCGAAAAAGTACACCAGGTTATGTATTCTTTATGGGGCAACACATCATTTACTTGGCGTTCAAAGAAACAACCGATCGTGACACTCTCAACATGTGAATGTATTCTTTATGGGGCAACACATCATTTACTTGGCGTTCAAAGAAACAACCGATCGTGACACTCTCAACATGTGAAGCTGAGTATGTGGCAACATCTTGGTGTGTGTGTCACGCGATATGACTTAGAAATTTGTTGGGCAAGATGGAGCTAAAGCAACAAGGTGCAACCGTGATTCAAGTTGACAACAAATCAGCAATTAAGTTGGCAAAGAACCCAGTGAACCATGAAAGAAGCAAACACATTGACGTTCGTTTTCACTTTATTCGAGATCATGTGAAGGAAGGAAGCGTGGAATTGCTGCATGTGGTAAGTCAGGATTAAGTTGCGGACATCTTTACAAAATCGCTACCGAAATTACTTTTCGACAAATATAAGAAGATGATTGGCTCGACCGATGGTCAGAGCATTCAAGTTTACGGGGGAGTTTGATTCAAATAAACTTAAAATACTAAAGGTTAATGTTAGGTAATTTGTTAGGAGAGGTTAATTTAAAAAATGAGGTGGAAGAAAAGGCCAAGATCATTTGTACTAATAATGTAGGGTTATGGGTGTCTCTCTCATACCTATTATTATTAGAGCTAGAAAACTTATCAATACCTAAGCATTTGATTGTAAAGTCAGAGCAAAAGGGAGAGATAGAGAGAAAAGAAATATAGAGCAATAAAAAAGGTCATTTGATAAAATCAGTGTTATTTGTCTCCTTGTCTCTTCTCTCTCGACATCTCCTTCACAAATACGCGAGTAGTATTTTCACAAAGCGGTATTGGAGCATTCTATCGTTAGTGTGTGTGAGATTTACTTCACAAATTAGTGAGTTTTACTTTAACAACCCTGTGCCCCTTCACACATCAGAAATCCGCCACCCAGCATCTACATCGCTGCTACGAGTGAACGCCATTGCCGTCACCAGAACCAACATTAAGAGGATTAAACGCAGCAAACCAATAGTTGCCTCTCGGGATAAATATACAATGCAGTTTCCTCTTGGGATAGATAGGATTAGAATCAACCTCTACGTGGACAGCAGGCTCGATCTAAGTCGGAGCGAACCAATAGTTGTAGAAACAATTCGAAAAGGAGATCTCCAGGTAAGGGACCCTTCTGTTGAAACTAAATATTTTGTTTATGAAAAAGGGTCGAACAGAGTCATATGGTTGCGTGCTCTGTAATCTGTTGGTTGTGTGTTGTGTGTTGTGTAGTCTGTTGGTTGTGTGCTGTGGCTGTGTAAGTGAGCTATGTAATTGGTTGGGGGCGATAAATATTGGGTAATTGATGACTGTTAAACACTGTATAAACTGTTGAATGTGTGTAGTTGTATTTGATGATTGAGTTCGATGTGAGTTGTATGACACAATATATGTGGGTCCATGAAATTCAGCATTTTACGTTTTAGGGACCTATTGCATGCATATTGTGTTTGTTGGTGGCGATGGTTAAAGGGCTTGTGGTAATAGTTACACGCTGTGTGTTTCGGTAACTAGCCACTAACAGTTACCTTTGGTGATGATCGTAGAAAATGATTATTAAGGTAAGGGTTACATGTTGTGTGTTTTGGGTAACCAGCCGTCAATAGTCATTTTAAGAAAATAAGGAGGGATGTTGATTTCCTCGTGGTAATGGTTATACGCGGTGTGTTTCGGGTAACAAGCTAGGGATAATCATTTTAAGGAGTAAAGGTGGGTGTTGATTTTCTTGGACAATAATCACCCGCTGCGTGTTTCGGGTGATTAACCACTAGGGTCCCTCGATTTTGGTTGATGTCCTTGTGAAAAGTTATGTATTTAACCTAATAGTGAAGTTCCTTATAGAGTATTTTAATACTCATCCTCGTTTTTTTTTAATGGTTTTCAGACGAAGCTGTGGCACAGAGGTGACGAATGGGATGCCAAAGTCAGTCATTGGGCGACTCAAGGAGTTTATGTTTGTTGAAATTTTATTTTGGTGCATAGACGTTCCCGCACTTTTGTTTATTAATTTAAATTATGTTTGTGAACGCCTAGTTTATGGGAACTAGTCGGTCACACCAGATTACCTTTTGATTTTAATTTACTAAGTTGTTTGAACATTTGCAGGCGGCATGTTTTAACCTTCTTAAAGGGTTCCTCACACCTAATTTTAATAAATGCAATTTTCATTGATTTTTAAATAAATCAAATTATTGTTTGTAATGGCCCTAACCGCTACTTATAGGATAAGTCTAAGTCGTTATATGTTCAGTCACACATGCCACCTATGCATGCATGTTCAATCATTTGCGACACAACCGACTTGCCTCTACACTAGGCCAAGTCATTTGTCTCGACCTTACCTCTACTCAGGGCTAAGGTCTCTCAATGCAACATGCACCTCAACATCATCTAGGTTCCCAATTAATATGACCACACATCTTGACGTCATCCCAAGTCACGAGGTGTTTTCGGCCATCATAGCTCGCTCGATCGTGTTCATTGAGAATAGACCCACATATCATTTATTATATCAAGACATCTCGAACATCCATCTATTTGAGTTCTACAAGGCGTTGGACCCTCCCATATCCATAATGCACTATCCTTCTCGGTCTCTTCATAACGCTCGTCTATCTTCGCCCTCGCGTGGACAGATAGGTGCAACTTGAGGGTTAATGCTCTACTTGTTGCAATGTGAGGGTCATAATCTACTCAATTTATAGTATAGTTGTGAAACAGAGGTAATTGTTCGTATTAAATATCTGGTAGTGAAAGAAGTCGAGGAGCATAGAGGTGAGGGAGAGAGAAAGGAAAAATGGGGAAAGGGAGAGGTTGTGCGTCCCTCGAGGCCCGACCCAAACGCGTGCCCTGTGCAGCCCAGCATGGGCACACTTCCCAGCTCGAGCGCGAGGCCAACATGAGTGAACCCAGATGTCTGACCCCGGGTAGCGGTCCAACCTAGTTCGGTCCAATAGGGTTGATTTTCCTCTTTTTGTGTAATCCACTCGCTTTAACTCTGATTTTGGCATCATTTTTACCGGTATTCCTCATTTTTACAAACATAGGAATTATTTGAGGAGTTTGGCAAATTTTGGAACCCCCTAGAGATGCAAACCCAACCAAAGAGTGTCGTGCTTTTCAGATAAGTGGCACCTCGGAACTTTGAATTTAGTTATGCTCGTAGTATGCATGAGAGTATGTTATAAGAATCATGTCATAAAAATTTGAGCATGAAATGAGTTGATGTGATGTATGTAAGAGCACGTTGAACGTTCTGATGCATGTTTATCGAGGAATAAACTGTTGAGTTATGATATGACTGAAATTGAGAGCATATTTTTTAGTATGATATAAAACATGTTGTGGGAAACCGATTATTTATGTTTGAGCATAGAATGAGTTGAGATGACACATGTTGTTATGCATGGTTACTGAAACGTATATGCACTGTCTTATGAACTGAATTTATGACTTGTTTTCCATGTTTATATCGCTATGCTATGTCTCTGTTTCAGATATTTATGATGTATGCGATTATATGGGGACGATTAAGGGTTCGCCAACTAACCTCTAATCGTGAACCTGACTCGATTGTCAGGGGTCCGGATAACCATATAACTGACTTATGATATTTTATGATTTATGATTGTACCCTGAGGAGACTACTATGAAGTTTGTCTGTTAGCATGCGAGTAGCAAGGGTCCACAACTATACCTAATGAGTTGGTCATGATTATTGTTCATGCATGCGAGTTATGCAGTTACACAAGGACAGCAGGGGTTCGCTAACTAACCCCTCATTGTAAACCTGACTCGATTATCAGGGGTTCAAATAACCATAAAACCGACCTATTTTATGATGTATGATTTGTGCCCAGTGGGGACTATTAAGAAGTTTGCCCGTTAGCTTTCTTTTTATGAACCTACCACGAGCAACAGGGGTCCACAGTTGCACTTTAGAGTTGATTGAGCTTTAGCATGCATGAACCCTATGAGATTTATACTGAGTTAGTGCCTCGAGGACTTTGAGATATGATGATGATGAGAGACTAGCAGAAATGACTAATCAAGAGACCTAGATAACTTAAGAATATTCCAAGGGCGGGAGGTTGAGATAGGACCAAGAACCAACAAAAAAGTAGAATGAGTAAACCTAGAGTGTAGCATATGAAGAGCCTATGCAGGGGAACAAATCCCCAAAAAAGAATAAGATAACGAACCTATGAACTAGATCAATAAGACGTAAAACGAACCATGAACTACCAGCAAGCTGCTTAATGAGTATATTTTATATACTCTTCTCTGTTACTTTAACTTCCTTTTATGGTGGAGTTTGACGTACCGGTCGAGGCAGAGGCACACGTGGGTTGTTGGCTATAGGGAGTCCCATCACACTTGAGTTTGGAGTTCCTTTATACTTCTCTTTAAATCTTACCTTCATGTATTTCATGTACATGAATGTTAAATAGTTTGATCTTGTAGCGTAGTATTTTAGTGGTCTTTTTCTTGTTTCTTTATAAAAGCAAAACCTTTCATTATTATTTTAATCAAATTTCAAAGTGCATGCAGTGTTTAAATGTTTCAAATTTTAGGCATTTTTTTCTTATTTTCACGCCATTGAGTAACAGTCAGCAAAAAGCAGGTCGTTACCATTTAAAATTGATTAACTGAATGAAAACTCAAAATTCTTCATCCACGATTCATTAAACTCAAGTTAAAAGGATACCATTAACTTGTTTCGTGAAGAAGAAGAGGTCCCTATCGAGTTGCTTGAAGAGATTCAATCTTACGCAAAAATGGGTAAGGAAACCTATGGGTCTTAGACAAGAAATTAAAGCTTAAGATGAAATTCGTCCCTCCTAAACCCATCCATGTTTGAGGGGAAGGTGAAAGAGAGAATTGTAGAACTTAAAATGCTGATAATATCTCGAAGTCCCAAACCAAGAAGAAAAATATATGGGTTTGCTTTGGCGAGAAGCGGCAAGCTTTGCAGTTCATGAGAAGTTAAGAATCTTGTCCCTACGACCTCCTTGCAACGTGATCTTTATGTTTCTCGAAGGAATCGAGAGTCAGAAGTTATTGCATCAAGTTGTGGAGGCTGAGTTTTATAGGGATATCTTATACCATTTGTTTATATAAAATTGAATTACGAAATATTTAATCTCTCTTTATAAATCTATTAATTTAGAAGATTAATATTTCATCAGAGGATCATATACGATTCCATTTGATCCTAAGTCAATTATGAACTTTTACTTGTGAGAGATTGTCCTTTGATTTATCTCAAATAGACTAAGATCCAGTTCGGGTCATTTCTTGATAAACATGATCTGTCATAATCTCTTTGATTCCTGATGTAAGAATTGGAATCCAGGTGAAGCAACATCTAAGGACAGCCAAACCAACAAGATACTATAAGAGGATGAAGAGTAATGGATAGGCCAAGTGTCCAATCTGAAAAAGGAAATGCTTAAAACTTCAACCTTTATCTGCTTTTTACAAAATCTACCTTGCATCTTTAATTTTTGCTCTACATATCTTCAATCAATTTATGCATTTATTATCTTTTTTTTTTTTTCTTTTTGAAAGGGGGAAGATGGTGTGAAGTGGGAAAAAAAAGAAAGAAGAAAGTAGACCTTTATGTACCTCCCCTATTAACATATATTAGTAAAAATAAGTGTTATACTCGTAGTTAGACAACTCATATCATAAATGAGTGTGTTTGAATCCAAGGCAAAAGCATAACTAATACTCAAATGGTTGAAAGGTGTTGCATCATATATGTGGTCACATTAGAAAATATAAATGTGGTCACATTAGAAAATATGCTATTTATGGAATGTTCAAAAATAAAGAGGGGTTGAGGAAGGGAGAATCTACTTAGAAAGGAAGGAGAAAAGAGAAGAATGAGAACTAGTAAGGTACATTTGCACATAGTTGCAAATACAATAATTTAACACTTGAACAAGTAATGGATCTACAAAAACCTCTTCGAGGAATCGATAATCTACTTATTCGTTTATCCTTGCGTTATTTGCACATAGTTAGTGAAAAAACTTAACAATATTTTACATCACAAACTAGTAACTAGTAGCTAACTGGTATATGAGATCGCTTCCTCAGCTTTTGACACTTTATTGGTTCCTATAAAAGGGTTGCTAGTTAACCTTACATAGTGTAAATGTTTGCTTAATCCACCACACCTAAATGGTGTGAAAGTTATCTTATTTATAATCAAATAAATTACAAGGATATGGAAATAGTAATAAATGGAAATAACAATAAATGGAAAGATACTATAGTAATAAGGCAAATGTTAGATATTTGCCTTATAATAAAATATCAAATATAATATATATGGTAAACTATAATTTATTACTAAATATCCTTAACACCCCACCGCAAGCTAAGCGTCGGATTTAAACGAACGTGAAGCTTGAATCTGAAAAATTCAAAGAGGTTGAGAAACACTTTTCGCGAAGATGTTAACAACTTGGTTCAGAGGAGGCGTAGAGAAACACTTTCTTGGCCATCGAAAACTGCAGAGAGATCGCTGCTCAGCGGCAATGCTGCCTTGGCTTCGGTGAGAATATGTCTAACCCATGAAGAGGGATTGTCGCTTAGCGACGATGCTGACTTGGCTCTGGTGAGAATATGTCTAACCCCAAGAAGTAGAAGGGGAAACCTAGAGCAAGGGACAAAGACAATGTTGAAGCCGGAAGAGTCGCCACATTGGGCGAATGAGCCAATTTTGGCGAGAAGGGCAGCTGGAAGAGTCACCACATTGGGGCGAAGGAGCCAATTTTGGCGAGAAGGGCGGCGGCAACTTGGTTGGCGAAGATGCCAGTGCGGCGCCCAGATTCCAAAGGTAAATCTCTGCAGAAGGTCGATGGGCTTATTGAGATTCTGTATATTTTCGAAGAGGGATGCTGATGAAGATCCTAAGATTAGGGTTTTTGCGAAGGATGAATGATGAAGGGAAAAATTGGGAAGAAATTGAAAGAGGCTATGTTTGGAAAAGGTGAGGTTGTATGTACAGAGTATGGCGAAGGATGATTTGGAGGTCAAAAAGGTGGAGCCGAAGAATAA